TTCTCGAAGAGAAGCTGCAAACTGTGAATAACGGAGCGATGTCGGGTTACAAGCCAAAAGATTTCTGGAATACTGATGTAGATCAAGGTCATATGGAGAGAGAAGAATCTTGTCCTACCATACTCGTATTTCACACTCTCTTTGCATGTTTTCCATCGACGTCGAACATTTTTTTTCAAGATTGTTCAGGCTTTCCCATGTTTACTGGGGAGTTGAGCTGGATGGCGAGAGCTTGGTTGGCTTCATGGAAGTGAATTCATAGGGTCTTTGCATTTGTGGCTACAGAGCATGGCGACGAGGGCAGTTTCTCCTCTGCATACTCTACGATCTTATCGGGCACGTAAGAGAAATACTGTCGAGGTCGACTCAACATCGGCCGCCTTTGCCTTCGAATACGCTCGACGGCAGTACATGGAAGGTATCGCGTGTGGTTGGTGTGCATTTCTGTCTTGCTCTTGACCTCAATTGCAACAGAGAAAGGACACACACAACTGCAACGGCAATGAGTAGATCGTGCTTCTATCAGTATTTTTCTGACCATGTATTTTGGTCCCACGTTCGGTCCGGGGGCATAGAGAACTAAAATTTTCTTTCCACAAAATTCAACTTTTACAGGTTGCAACAATCATGGCCTTGATGCCGTATTGCTATACTGGTGTCGGGGTTGTGCGAGACCTTTATAGAAGCCTTGTGAAGCCAGCGGTGTTGCACTACACCTCAGACCGGTTGAGCGCGGGCTGTGCACGTAGTGATAAGAACTTCTTTTCTGCTGTCTGGGATTTTTTCCATGAGCCTGTGCATACCTCAGCGACAGATGACAGGGTTAGACGAGGTGACAGCACAACTCTTGTGGATGGCCAGCGCCCGGAAGACATGTTGAAGGTTGTAGTGTGGGATGATCCATCAAGGCAAGGGTTCTTTGGAAGTGCCGCAAGCGGTCCCGACCTCGAGACAGCTGGTATCAAATGCAAAAGATCTACTCACTCTATCGAAAGTGCGTTCTTGACTCGATCGGCTTTGGTCGACTTGCTTGTAGCGTGTTGTTTTTTATCCCGACCAGCATTTTTTGTTTTTTTTTATCCCGACCGGCAGGTCGGTTTATAGATCCTCAATTGCTCTTGTTCTCACGGGTTTGATAGTACGAGAGATGGGATCCATACAGCTATTCGGCCGAACGAGTGGCGCCGATGGACGCATTTCGCTGACGAAGCATGTCTTTTGCGAAATTCCATACGCCGCTCCTGGGACGGAAAGATCCGAGAGCAACGGTGCCGCGTGGGAATGGTTGCTGAGTACCTTTTTCAAGCGTCGAGTACCGTTTCTTGCTATACGGCCACCTTTTTCTACGTTCCTTACGGTATCATCTTGTTGGCCGAGGTTCGTCATTGCAATATGTGCGGGCCTTTTTATCATTTTTTTCTGCGCTTGTAAATAGTTTTAGTACATGTGACCGTGTATCTTTTTTCAAACTCCTGCTTGATGTGCTATATTTGCTCGAATGCCAGTGATAGTGCTACTGGGTAACGACGTATACGTCTTTCTTGGTATCGTTCCATGGACTTTTCTTTTTCTCATCTAAACAGGATACTGCCTAAACACAAGCCCAAAGAAGGATCTGCAAAAGCACTGGCCCGAGCTCGAAGTCGCTAGGTTTTTCAATACACCGTCAGCGGACTCACCGGTGCCGGCAGATTGGCATTCAAAGTTCCAAATCGACTTTCACAAGAGAGCTGATTTTTGGCGCGCACGGTCCACCGGGATCGGGCCTGAGTGGAGCTATCAGCATTTCCGATATCGGTGGCTGATGAACCAGTGGTGGGCAATACCAGTTCTCTTCCGCACCGATGGTCAGAGGATGTTCTTCGATCGCCCGGGGCGCAACGACATACACATGTATCCAGATTTTGATCCGAGAAGATTTAGCGACGAGCAAAAAAAAATTTTCGATCAACTACCTTTCGAGCCAATTCATGTGGTACTAGGTGACGAGGAAGACCCTTTATCGGATTCAGATTCAGATTCGGACTATGCAACGCCGCCAAATCCGCGTCACGATGGCGGTCTCAGAGTGCAGCCACAAGCTGCTTCAGGCACAGGGAACAGTGATCAGAAACGGACGCCGAAACAAAATGGCGGCGGTATTGAAACTCGCGGATCTTCAGGTGGCGCCTCAGATCTGAATTCAACAGGAAGAAGTTCTGGGGCAGCACCGACTGGCGAAAACCAGCAAGAGCACGAGCTGCAACTGCAGCATTTCAGAATTGCGGGTCCTGTTGAACCTCCGGCATTGACTCCAGATGTTACAGCAGAGGGAGCTGCTGGTGCTGCAGACCCGACCGGCGGAAACCCACCGCCGCCCGGTGCGGCAGCACAGGACGCCGGCGGTGGCGAAAAGACAGCATTGGAGAGGAGCGGCACTCCAACTTCCGGAACAACCGCTTGCGGTGGAGGCAGCTCTAGCTCCCTCTCGGGCGCCTTGGCTTTTCCTGGAACAGATACGGATACAAGCGCAGCACCCCCGCGCCTGCCGCCCGTGATGCCATTAGGGCAGCTCGAGATCCGTCCAGGCACCGATGTGAGGCCGGAAGCCTTCGTACAAGATATCGAGCACGAAGCGGCTTATGATGATGCTGATTCGTCGGACGCACAGAGCGACTACGAACCTCCTACAGATGACCCACTGTGGGAGGTGGTTGCGGGGCACAACCAGCAAAATTCTCCGGCAATCCGAGATACGGGACCAGGTGCTTCGGATGCAGCTGATGATGAAGAACGCATAGGCGATGTCGAAGAGCACGCGGACCTTTCATTTCTCGATGTCGCCGAGGGGCTGCAGGTGGCGTCCCTGGAAGACCGCCAAACGACGGAGGTCAGTTGTGAAGATCTCTTTGTGGAAGTTCTACTCGAGCAGCTGCGGCATGGCGCGGCGGGCCAAAAAGCCGCGGCACAATTACTGCCCAAGGACTTCTGGAACCCCCGAGTTGATCTGGGTCATATGTGCACGCAAAAAAGTCTCGCTCTCGCATAAGGATATAGCACCTTTGCATTTACAAGTGTCCTGGTGCCTCGACTAAGAACTGCGGGAATTCGATCCAGTGGACACCACGAATGGCCGCATTGTTTTTTGAGGTAGCGCGTTTGCGACGTAAAGTGGTATTATGGGTTACGTAAAAGGGCAAAGCCCAGGCTTCGTAGTGAAGATTCATATTTTTGTACATAGTGGTGCGTATTGACTCTATATGATTTTTGTTGCAAGCGAATGCCAATCAGAAACAGAATCAGCAACTGGCACAAGAAAGTGCTTACTTACAACTTTCGCCAGTTAGTACTTCTGCATTGCTTCGGTGCTGGCGATGCAGCGAAAGACATTTTTGAACTGTACCGCGTAAGACCATTGGGGAACGCTAACCATGAAGCTTCAAGACCGCCAGGGGCCGCCTTTGGGAATGCTTAGCAGCGACAAGTGGACGGTATAGTTGCTCTTGAATTATTTTGTCCATTCATCCTCAAAATTTCAATGCTGCATGAAAGCATGGGCAATTATTGAATGGAAGTATCTATCTGACTTGTGGTTTCGTCTCGGTGACTATGATTGCTACTCGAGAAGCTTGTTGACGATTCGAACATATAAGTTACGAGCAATGTACAGCAGCTCACCCGTAGCCGGCGCTACTGAGGTATCTTTGTGGCCGATACCCTAGGCTTCCCCGTGACCAGGGCCATCCAGGTCTCAGAAAATGGACCCAAACAGTCACCACCTTATTACAGTTTCATATAGTGCGTCTTATCTGGAGTGCATTCTCAATTAAGGCAGCATTCTAAAGGTGTTTTCGAATTTGCAACAGATCTCGACGATTCTGGCTTTGATGCCGTATTGCTACGCCGATGCCGATGTAGTACAAACGTCCGCTCTTCGGTACGATTTGAAACCTGCAGTGACCCAGTATAGCTCGGAGCGTCTGCACGCAGGTTGTTCTCAGAGTGACAAGAGCTTTTTCACTGAGGTGTGGAAGTTCTTTCACGAGTCCGTCAGGAACGGGTCTCGCACAGCTAACCACGACGGTAACTGTGCCGAACAGCAAAGGGGGGATAATGGCTGCAAGGTCGTCGTGTGGGATGATCCGATCCGCCGCGTTGGTGCCACTTACAATGCGCATGACGACAATATGAGACGTAAAAAAAAAGAACATCCTTGGAGTCCGTGTCGGGAGCGGGCGGCTTGATGTTGAGAAGGCGGGTTGCCCAGCCAGCCTGCGTGCCAAAGCACTAACACTTTTGGGTGAAGTAGTATCTGATAGACGAGTGCACCAGCTACCGCCAAACCAAGACGGTCTAGTGGTAGCCTCTGCGAACTATAACTGCCAAAGTATGTTTGTACTGTAGACATCTTCAACATCATTCGAAAAAGAGCAGCAAACCTGCCTTCACGGACTGCGAGGTATGGTTCTTTCGTTGTGTCGTTTCATAACCGCGTTGGATTTCCAGAAGACACGGGAGAGCCGATGCCGTATCGGAATGGCGGCAGAGTATCTGTTCCAAGCTTCGCCACGAGTGTCTGGTCACGGCGCGGAGAACTTTTACGTTCCCTACGGTACAGAAAAATGCCATTTATCTTTTTTTGTATTTAAAATTCCGTGCGGACTTCTGCAGTGCCGCTGTCGCATGACGGCCAAATTGCAGTTTTTAAGGACGATGGCGATCCCTAACATTGACTTCAACCCATCAACGAAAAAGATGATGGTCAACAACATGAAGATATGTGATAGACAGACAAAGAAGGCATACATTTTGGATGTACAACAACTCCCAATTATAGGGTACTGCCTGAATACGAAGCCTCGCAGCGAGTTGAACGAAATGTGGCCGGAAGCCGTCCTCGGTAGGGTCTACCGCACCCCGGACACGCAGTCGCCCGTCCCGCCAGAGTGGCATCACAAATTTCAATTGGATTTTTTCAAACGCGCGGCATTTTGGCGCACCCGATCTACCGGTGCTGGGCCGGAGTGGAGTTATCGCCACTTTCGCTGGACGTGGCTCAGCATGCAGTGGTGGGCCATATTCCGCAGAATTCGAAGCGACCATGCCAGGCTGTACTTTAACGCCGAGCGCCATCATCTCACGGGCCATCCTATCAACGACATATACATGAATTTTCTGCCAAGGGAGCTCGAGCCGCCTCTGATGGAAACCTTCCATCCGCTTTGGACGCACCTCAAGCCGATACGTATGGAAGGTTCGGAGGCGGATTCGCCTGCCACGTGAAGATTGCTGGTGAGTCCGTCGCTTCTTTTGCAGCGCGAAGGCATGTAGACTCAACGGGAGATGAAGACCAGTGCGGCGCACATGAGGACTTTTGCCGCCCACTGCTCAATCATCCTTGTACTGTACTTACGTGAATCAAGTCTGATATGAGTTGTATCATGTAAACCGTCTCTCTCTTTCTGTGTGTGTGTGTGTGTGTGATTGCAGTTGTTCGACGCAGGGGCACGAGGCGAGCCTCGATATCCTTGAGACCACGATCAGCAAATCCGAAGCTGAGGGCTATTTGCAACAAAAGGCGCAAAAGGCGGAGAAAAAGGATTCTGATCTTCCGTATCTACTCAGCAAGCCAACAGCTCTAGATGAGAGTAGTACCAAACAAAGAGCGGCTTCAGCGGTTTTTCTTCATGTCTATTGAATCCAGCAGCTGGCATTCTACATTGATCTGGAATGTTCCATTTGAAAAGTGAATCACTGGTAGCGTGTCCTGATCAATTTTGATAATTTATTTTTGCCGCATTATTTTTGTTACATATTATGCCCAATGAATGACAATTTTCACGATCCTGAAGACGCAAGTTAATAGTTAAAACATGACTTCTCCAGCGACATTATCATACAAACACGAGAGTTGGCTACTTAGCTCCTGGCTCTACGTGTGGATATCCTGTCATCTTCGGTATGTTGATTTAATACCTTTGTCAAACTTATCCCATGTCAGACACACACCAGGTAGTGCGACTCATAAAAGTGGGGTAGATTTAGATTCATTTTTCTGTAAGATACTCATCTATTTTCGTTTTGTCTTGAACCCAATAAGAATACACCGTTCTCCCAGTGGTCTTTCATACATACTTGTACAATATATAGCAAATTTTTTTTTTCGTTTTATTCTTCCTTCAGTGGGGTGCACGCCGGACGGTGCAACGTCTGATATTTAACAACTGATCAAACCATGTCGGTACTCTGATTCTCAACTACGATGATTCCGGTGTAGCAATCTCCCTGATATATTTTTTCCGACTTTTCGTGCTTGGTTGCAGAAAATAATACCGTGCACAAGCTACAAGTACATGTAGCATTGCAGCTCCAAAATGCGACTCCACCACCTGGCATGGACGCTGCTGTCGCAACTGGTTCAGGGTGGACTTGCCAGTGAGACAGTACCTCAAAAGGCTCCGGTCGTCGCGACTCCCACACGCATCGCTGCAACTACGGTTCCTGCGAACGAGCATCGAAGGTATGCGAGGAAAACAGGCCGCGGGAAGGGGCTGCTTCGTGCGGAAAAAATTATTGACAGGCACGAGTGCTCCGACCACAACAGAAAATCAACCAACGGAAGTGGTGCAGTCGATTTTTCTGTGGTTTTGTCGCATAATGATCATGAGGCTTCAGTTCGTCTAGGCCACAGTTTGTCTGCGCCACAACTTCGGGTTTTGTGCTTAAGTAGTTAGCAGAAGGGCCTTCTACAATTTTTTTGATCATGATGTTCTCGACAATGTGCACCTTCTTTCGCAACGACATTCTTTGGCACACAACCAGGTCCCAGTGCTCGCCGGCGGGAGCAGATTGTTCAGAAGCCGCTGCGGCAGGTTCCAGGGGTAGATCACTCGACTGGTACGACGACATCGCTTGCAGCAACCACTGTGGGCTTAGAGAGCCAAGTAACGCTAACCGCCGATCGCGTCGGGAAGAACAAAGAAAGTTGCAGCGCGGACACTTGCACACCAAGATCAGGGACACAGGAGGATTCAGCGAAAGGTCAAGTTCCCGGCCTCACAGCGGGACGCCTGCTGGATGACATCCGAAGTTTGGAAGACGGGTTGATGCTGGCGGCAACAAAGGACAGTCTGTTGAACCACAGCGACGGCATTTTGAGCTTCCTTTCACCAAAAGATACGGCTTCCCTACTGCAGGTGAGTAAATTGCACTCGCAAAAAGACGCGCTGGGTGCAGCCGCGGCAACCGCTGCTATTGCTCAAGACCAGAAAAACCGAATGGTGGAAGCACGCACGGAGAGCTGCGAAGATTTATTTCTCGAGGTGCTGCGAGAAAGAGTTGGCCAGCGAAAACCGAACTACTACTGGAACCAAGAGACAGACGGGGGCTTCGATTTCCTCCGGAAATTTCAACGCGTCGTGGAATTCCCGGACAACAAGAGGGAGCCGCCAAGCCAAACGGAGTGGAGCGTAAATAATTAAATGCGTTTTATGGTGCTCAGTGAATTACTTCTCATCACACATAGCTACATCACACGACGATAGATTTCATTTCGTTTCATACATAAGGGTTGAAGCGCCTCGTCTCTGGCTTCTTCTTTGGTACGGCGTTTTCTTGACTTGAAATCATCCACGCCATCCTAGGTCCTCCTTCTGATGACGATGGCGGCGGAAACCTGCAACCCTGCAACGTGGCATGGTTTTACGGACAACGTTAAGGGCAACCTGCGAAGCAGATACGGTCCGCAAAACCTTCGGCATGGATGTCACGCTGCAGACAGAGACTTCTTTCGTGAGGTGTTAGATTTCTTTCACGAGGGCGTTGCAGATGCAGCATCCGGACCTATGTCACTTGCGCAAGAGCAGCCGCAGGCAACTGTTAGTGGGGGGAACAATCAGAAAAAAGTCGTCGTCTGGAATCCATCGACCCGGTACGCGTTCGGAATTAGAGCCGCACAAAATGCGCGCCAGAACAATCTTTATCGCGACCGTTTGGACAGTAGATGCCGCTTGGCAATGGCGACCGAGCTTCTCTTCCAGAGACACACTCAAACTTACGATACTTGGAACTACTTGGTGAAGCATGGTATCAAGAGATGATTCGTTTTCAATTTGTAATCGACGCAGGCTTGATATGTAATATCGACTTAAAATTTTATGTGGAAGCACCTCCTATGCTTTTTTGATTTCTTGTTCGCCCTTATGGCTTTGCAGCGCTCGTTTGCTGTGAAAAAGGTCAACTCCTAGATTCTGGTCGATGCTTCTTTACACGTGGGGCGATTGCCGCTTGGCAGTGAGCGCAATCTCTCGCTGATGGCCCGTACCTCCCCCCGTCCGAACAAGATATGACTTGCAAACAAAAATCTAGGTTACTGCCTAAAAGCTCCGCCAGATGGAATGACGGAGCGTGAAGCAGATGACTATTTTGACGGGCTTCCCGAGGTCGAGAGGCAATACAAGGTTGACGCGGGCTGGTACACGTCTTTTCGCAAGATGTTCCGTAGATATGCGCAAAGGTGGCGGAAGGGTTCCGACGGTGTCAATACTCGTTGGTCATACAACCAATTCCAGTGGGATTGGCGTACCGAACAAGCGAGACACCTTCCGCAGACGCACTTCTATTACCAAGGCTACAGCAAAACCAACCCACTTCCGAAGCAGCTTGCGTCAAACCCGGAAAAGTTTTTGGTAACCATACCCACGGCGATTACTTACGACAGCGCTTAGAGAGCTGCATTGAAGGATAGATTTATAGCTCGGGTTACTCTTGTGGTGTGGTAAAGTGACACTTCCGTGATTTGACTTGAGGGACGCTTGATGGGACTAGATGAAGCTGTTTGTATTGAGAGTCTTAACGGCACATACGCGTTTATTTTGATATTAGAAACGTGATCGGTAATTTTTGCTCTGCCCTATTTGCTGTTGTAGTTGTTCAGACTGATTTTACAACAAACCAACTCACCCGGAAATTGTGGCCACACGGTTTTTAGAGTTTTAGAAAACAACTCTTAAGTCGATGGGTCTACTATCAATGCATTTTGCGCACGATCCAAATATTATCTTGCAATGTGTGAGTGTTGCAGCTGCGGGCCGAAAGTTTCGGAGGAAATGTATGATATTCTAGCTATGTATGATGCCTGCAAGATGGAGAAGGACTCCCTGTATTGCTTGTATGAATATGTTGTAGAAATGTATGTACAAAGGAAGTGAAAAAACTTGCGGTTTAAGAATAGCAGATCTAGCTGGAAGGACCGTTTGCCGAGGCCATCTGCATTTGCGGCTCTAGCCGTCAATCTGTGCAAAATATACTGTTGAATATGTATTGTATGATACGCTGCTGGCGCGTGGGCATGCGCAGCAAATTTGCGTACTAACATTTGGTCAAGATACATGTTAATTTAGGTCTGTCATCCGACCTGAAAAATTTCAAAAGTGTTTATACCTGCTGACGAAGGCACGCTGGGAAAAGCGGGGCCGACTACGAATGCCGTCCGATAGATTCAAAAAGTGAATTTGGCGTGATTTTCTTATCAGCGCTACTTCGTGTGCTCTACATCCCTTTGATAGTAGGTGTAGGTCTAGATCCAGATCAGTAATTGCACCAATGCTACCGCCCTCAAGCTAGAAAAATTTTAGGGACGCTAATGACCCGCAATCGAGTACGTAGAATTGCAGGATCAACTAATATCTGTCCAGGATCACGAAAAGTATCATGCAGGAGAACAAAACATGAAATCGCAACTGATCAGTCCGTCGGTGATTTGCAAGACTAAGTGCATCGACTCCCCTTCTCGCTGGATGTAAAACTAACGCCAGACGATTCATTGATGGAATTCTTCGGAGTATCGAAATCGAAGTAACCGACTACGAAGTGACGCGATCTGAAATCCTACATGCAGTAACGTGATCTGAAATCATGTGTAGGAAAGACCCAAACCATCTGCCAAAGAAGTCCTCTGGGATCTCCACCACCCGACTCTCATAAAGCATTTTTGTAACCCTTTCTGAGAAGCAATCGCAGGTTTGAAAGAGTTTGCTCTGGTTGTAGCAATTGTATGTTTTACAAATCGAACCGGCAACGCGAAGATTTACATACAGACAGCACTTTACAGAGTGTTTCTTGAATCGCTGATCATTTTCAGCTTGTGGAGGCCCTTCAGTCCCAGATTGCGGAGCTTGCTCATTTTATTGTGCGGCTTACCACAGAGGGGTTGTTTAGAATTCTACATCGCTTCGGCAAATAAGCACTGCTCGTGTGAGATTTTTTTTTTCGCAACATATATATAGATAGTTTTTTTCAAGTGTGGAGAGCTTGACCATTGACTGAGGGCGGTCAATAACAGGCCGCGTTTCGTTATCGCAGCGGCCATCTTACATCTCGCTAAAGATCAAAAACGATGTTGGGTGCCACTGTGGGACTCATTTTTTTCTCCGCGCCTGTACTGGCAGTACGTGCACGCGTGGGTTCGGCAGTGAGCCAAGGTGCCGAAGGGCGACCACTTACAGCACCATGGATACGTAAGGCGCGGTCGGATCTAAAATGCGCCGAAGACGTGGAAGGACACTGTGACGTGAAGCTCAGAGCGTTTGAAGGAATGAAGGCGGAGCTGCTCATGTCCGCTCTGTCGGAAGATGACGCAGATGATATTATGCTCCACTTCATTACGACACTAGGACCACAGCTAGCGAACTTGAAGGTTGGCGTGGACGAATTCGTTGCGCGCAGATCGCGAGTCAAGATGCAAGATGTATTCGCCATGGTATTTAAGGATCTTCAGCAGACGCAGGGCGGTCGCCGTATAGACCGTTGGAAAGAGACTCTGACACAATGCCACGAGCTGATCTTCGGCTTCGCTTCGGGTGCAAGACAGAGCATATTCGTTGAAAGCGAGCAGACTGCACTTCTAGCGACCTGCGTGAGAAGTATTTATGTTGTTTTTTATTCTTGATTTTCATACATTCTGTGAAATAAAAGCGCATATAGGGACACTTGCTTGATAAACGAGTAGCTTCTCTTGTTACACAAGGGGCATTTGATCTTGCTCATGATTTTCATACACATGCAACGGGACGTGATGCTTGTTTGCAATTCTCCTGAAAAATCGGTGAAATTTACAGGCCGCCAGTGGGGTGAAAACTTGTTGATTGGAATCCCCGTCGCAGACCGTGGATCCTTACAGGGCAAGCGCACGCGCCACTGCCGCCTTCTCGATGTCATGTATCACGGGGTTTCGACAGGCTCCGGTGAAGAGGAGGAACGGCAGAGACGCACGAGACCTCGCGATGGCCGTGTTGCTTCAACCGTTGTTGTGGAAGACACTCCAATGCGAGGGGTGGACCTTCTCGATGTCTTCACAGTAGCAGAGCGTATGCGAGAAGCCGCAGCACGATGCGCCATGCCAGCGGGCATCACTGGTATACATGGTTTCTGAAACTCCCTCATCTTCATCGGCAAGTGGTGCGATTAATTTCAACCATCAATCTTTCCGTATTATTTTAGCGGAGATCGAAATGACAGGGCTAGAACATAAGTAGGCGGCATCGCACTTGCAACTATAAAATAGGCGTTGCTGTCTCTCAGAGCAGGTGCATAGATTATTTTTTTCAAATAGTTAAAAGCTCACGGAGAAAAATAGCTGAAATGGCCGCCCTTTACATAAATATTATGTATGACAACATTGCAGACCTCAGCGACGACGAGCCCCGGATGTTTTTTGTGGAGCTTGGTGTGCGACTGGGAAATGGCTCCTTTGTTACACTGGCGCGTGGCTTTCCGGTGCATCCGAGCGACACCATGAGATTCCTGCGTCTCAAAGCAGAAGCCGCTTTGGAAGGGTATGTGCAAAACAGACGTGGCCACGAACTTCCAGAAGCTCCGCAAGATGAAGTGCGCGCGTTTCGTTTGATGGTTCGAGAAGCCAGGGGATCGGCCGCAAGCGAGAGGGAGTGCTCAGGGAAGACGATGAAGTCCAACGCTGTTGCCGAGCTGAACAGAAATACGCCCCTTGTCGCACTGAAAACGATGTCTGACAGTAATGGAAGGCCTATCAAGCCTACAGGAGCACTGCGAGACAAGATCAACGGAACAAGGGGCCTCACAAATGATATTCTCTACGACCTCAGCAGCTCATTTGCCAATTTGGCTATCGGGCCGACCAGGGCGGATACGAGAAGGATTCGGCTCTTGAGAATGGAGCTTCAAATTGGCAACAGCTCCACTGCGGCATCAGGTATTCTTGTGTGTAAATCTACGGGGAACTTCATACGGATTTTGATGACTTTGTTTGTGCGATTGTTTGGCAAGCTCTATTCCCTTTGTTTCCCCTGTAAAGTCGCGGTAAAGACCTGCCGTGGGTGTAGCAGTTGACACTCCTATTGATTTGTACTGCAGCTGCGCATGTCATTGTTTTAGCCTTTGCAGGCGTAAGCAGGTCTTGACTGGTGTTGCGTTGCATTTGTAGTGAAGGATTTGCAGGAACAGTGTTGCACCACCAGCAATCGCAACCATCTTGATCTTCTATCTAAAGACCCTGCAACATACAACTTTTTTTCGACTGATAGTGAAGGGCGTTTTGCTTTGGCACTTCTCTTTTTTCAGCGGAATCTTCGAATTAACAAACAAATCAGGTGTACTGCAGTCACAGGTCTCAGCGTCGTCCTCATCCGGGAATGGCAGTGGTGGCGCAGGAAACGGACGTAGGGGGGGCCCAGACGATGGCCGGGACCGAGACAATGGCGGGGGCCGAGACGATGGCCGTGGGACGGGCCGTGTGCTCCCAGACTCAAATTTTACCGTTCCCCGTGGTGCTACTGGCAATACTTTGCGGCAGTCGCTTGACAACTTGCCC